ACAAAATCCACATTAAAAATCAATCAACCATAATGAATTTTATGCTTTACATTTTTTTCTATCTGTCTTTACCTATTTAAGAAGTGGCCCAAGTGCAGTCTAGCCCTTGTTTACAGGAGTACATACCCACAGAGTTTGTGGGGTCAATCAAAAACACTGTTTCCCAATCCAATATAATTATACGAGAAACCGATGTGCAGCAGGAGCACATGTATCCTGACAGAGTGTCAAGATCCAGATACACTAAACTTAAAGCCAGAGAAATGTCCTCACTTCACCTCATACAATATTTTTTCCTTTCTGACTGCTCATAACACCCACTCTGTTACAGTTCTGCAGTGTGATGCAGTGCAACAATGGCTACTGACACCACAAAAAACTCTCAGCAGTCACTATAAGACACCTACTGTATTTCAGTAATAAAGATCAAATGTTGTCCCTATAGATTCAGCTAAAACTAATGAAGCTTATAACAATAGCTCTGCACTACGAAGTCTCGCCGACACAAAGGGGTGGATAAAACAATTAAAAAATATTGCAAACTACCCAAATTCTCATTTATTTGAATCAACGCCTCTTTAAAGTAGATTCAACAAAAACTCAACATTATCACATCCACAATGTTAAGATTTTTTGTACAACTGTTGTATGGCTATGCTTAAGTTTTAGTCAGATGTTAATAATAAAACAGCTACTCTTTGTATAGGTTAAATTCAAAAGCTGCTACAGTAGAATAGCATAAAAAGAATTTCTAATGACTGTAGGTATCACTAATGAATAGCCAGCTTGCAGCACAGACGCATGTGAATGTCCATTTGTGCATGTGTACACACAATACGACTGACAGCTGAATGCATTACAACTTTGCCTCCAGGGATCTGAGTTCAACCTTTTATCCTGATGCTTTATTCCCTCTGACATCTCTCACCTGCCGCAGTTTGTATGTATGCATGCATACACTTACATCAAAATTTAATTGTCATAGAGAGACAACGATCTGACTGAACCATTGTGGTAGACTGATGCTACACAGTGTGAATCTGTGTACAGGGAAAATAAGAGCACTTTGTTTTCTTATCCTCCTATCATCCCACTAGTTCATTTATGAAAACATCAAACAATGTACTTCTGTAAGACCTCTATACATTTTCTAAAATAAAAACAATGTTTGTTTTTTTTAATAGTGGACATCTAAGAACCTTATTTTCAGTTAATAACTGAATAAGAGCTGAAGAATGAGTCATTCAAGTGGTGCTGAGAGGCCTTGTAGCGAGATCAGTGGACCAAGTAACTACTGGGAAAGTACGCCTACATCTCTTACAGACATTTATGGAGTTGATTACTGAATACTATTTAAGTGAATCAGCTGCAATGCACAAATGTATCATGAGATGGTGTGTCTGTTTTAGTAAAACTAAAACAGTCAGTGCCTTTCAATATGTTGCAACTACCTCAAAAGCAAAAGAAGAATGTGTTGTTGTAAAATGCCTTTTTTTCTCGACCACCTCTCACTTAAAGGGAAAAAGCCACTGCAATGTCACGGATCTAACACTGCAAGCTTCTCTCAGCTGTTCCCTTACTGGTAAGAGGTCACCACAGAGGATGGATCCACATATTTGATTTAGCACAGGCTTTCAGGCCAGACGTCCTTCCTGACACAACCCTTCCAGGGACCTGTCTCTCCTTTCACTCCCGAGGCGGGGGATAACCACTACACTTTAGTAATCCTACTACGGAACTGTGGATGTAGCATTTCATTACACATCTAGAATATATTATTTATTGAACCGATTAAGATGAAAAGCAGATATAGCACTACAACAAGCACTAGCATGCCTTCATGAAGGGAGATGGCGAATGACAACAACATATCTGCCCTTTAATCCACAATATATTGATGTAGAACAAAACTGTAATATGCACGCAGGCAGCAAGGTGAGAAATGTTTCCCAATTTATTACTATGAAGCACGATGGTACAGGTGCGCTAAATGTCATCTCAAACCAGCACGTAGAAAAATACAATTTCTTTTGTATTCCCTTAGCAAGAAATTAAATAAAGCATTACTTCTTCTTTTGGCTGCTCCCTTTACGGGTCGCCACAGCGGATCATGTGCCTCCATTTCACCCTCTCTTTAGTATCCTCTTCTGTCACACCAGCCGTCTGTATATCCTCTTTCACTACATCCACAAATCTTCTCTGTGGTCTAATTAAGGCATTACTTAATAAAACAAAAAATAATTTTCAGTGCTTAATCACCATTTCATGTGGATTTCATGAAGGTATGACCTACGAATGGTTTGCAAGTCTATTTTAAGTGCTGCTTAATCGCTTTGACTGATAGTTAATCAGGAATAAAATAGTGGCCAATTTGTCTGATAATGCTGTAATAACCAATGTTACTTTTCAGGGAAAAGTTCAAAAGCTCCCTTTTTCTCAGTGGGTGTTGCTGCCATCTTTGGTTAATATTATTGTCAGTGAGACATCTTTTGATTTTAGACTGTTTGGCAAAACACTGGGACACATTTATTATATTTTTCTAATGTTGATTTTATCCAAATGAACAACTGAAGAAATAAATAACCACTCTTGATTGATTCCTATACAAGAGAAATATTCAGAGTCCCCAAAATGCAGTTGAATGAACCTTTATGTACAGCAACCTTATTATTACTATTAACCATTGATTTCTTCTAAGATGGTCCAACCATTGAAATGTTTACATCTGCTAACCTCTAAAAGAACAGTAGCATTACTGGAGGTTGAAGTTGAGGGACCGGGAGGTGGACGAGGCACAGGAAATGAAGGTGACTCTGGAAGCTGCCGTCTGTTGGTGCTTCATTCGCCGATCTGTGATGAGCAAATCACTAAGTGGTTCAAACCACACGGGAATGAAGTGCTGGAAAGCTCTGTTACAGAACCGCTGTCTGTCGTAACATTAAGTGACTCCCGCTTTCAACAGTCTGACGGTTTTATGGCTGCATTGTACAGCCTGCCATTCATATACATGAGCCTGCGCCCCACACATGCCAAAAGCCACACGACATCCACCGTCTTCCTCCAGCGAGGTAGACAGATGTATCAACTTTAGCATATAGCAACAACACTAGTTCTCATCCAGTAGGAAAAAACAAAACAAAACAACAAACGTAGTATTTTCTGACTAGAGCTCCTAAAGAGAACCACTGACCTTTAAGTTAATATACTTTCATCTGGTGGACGCAGTTCTAGTGGATGCCTTTTGATTTATCTAGAGTCACAAAAATAAAGTCAGCCTTTAACAAAGACTTCCTTGTTTGTATATTAATAAGATTTAGGCTCTTCAGTCCTCCCCCCCAATCACAAAGGGAAGTATTTCTAGATGTCAAAAAGGACAAAAGTATCACCTAATAGAATCACTGAATGTCTATCATCCACGGAGCAGTGTGCATCTTCCAGTCTCGATCGTAGACTATTATTTTAAATGTACATAGTTTGCTTCCACAGTAATGCTCTGGTGAAGCCAACAACAGTAGCATCTCACAAATCCCTTTAGACAGATAAGGCTTCTTGAATTAAATGGGATTAGTAGTCAGTGACTAAAGCAAGTAATCCCCCACCCACCGCCTACAAAAAAAGGAAAAAGAGATGATGGCAAAAAGGATTCATTTCACTGATAAGACTAGTCAAAAACAGGAGGGTAAATAAATAAATAATGACCTGTAACATTTGGAATAATCCTATCTGATATGCACCATTTAAACACACATCTTGTAGTATCAAGTTTTTTTAAAAAGTGCATTTTTTAACTTCTGCCACTGCTCGTTGCATTAGGCATGAATAAATGATCCAGCTTGCATATGTTACCCTGAGCACTGCACTTGGAACTGGCATGTTCACTGATTTCCTATACTGTATACAACGAAAATCAATTAGATTTAACTAAAATTGAGATGAATAAATAATGACAACGAGCATTAGTTGCAGTGGATATCTGTGCACAGCAGCTAAGTCCTGGTGTAAGTGACATTCAGATAAAGTATACATTTGTTATGAACCCAGGCAGGAGTTGATGGGCACTGACATAGTTAGCCACTTTAATCCAGTGTGCAAACATTTGCACATGTAGAGTAAACCTTTTCTACCCATTTTGACCTTTGCCACTTCTCTCATTCGTCTCCTTCCCCTAAATTCAGCGCCAAACTCTTAACAAATTTAACTCCAGAAACAGTCATTTTCTCCATAGTGGCTACTGTAGCCTTGAGGTGTTTGTATTTACCCTCACATCAGTGGTTAATATGTAGTTATATCAGTCAGAGTGTGGCATGCACTGGCAGTGCACTGCATACCAGAGATAGCAAGCAAAGCCAAAACGGCGATGGTTGGACAAAAATGGTCACACTCAAACAAGCTTAAGACACCATTTTGAAAATCCACCGATTTCTAGATAACCACTCCGAGATGCCATCTTGCCAATTATCACTAGATTAGCCAGCGTTAGCATGGCGAGCCATCCATTCCGAAACACTCCGTGCAGGAATCTGCACGGGTCACATATTACTAACGTTAGCTTAGCTTGCATGCTAGCCTGAAAAGCCAGTCGCTAACCCGCCGTAGCATCCCTGCATCTCTCGGCACACGCTGCCCCCCTTTTAAAAAAACGCTAATTAGCAAGTTAGCCGGGGCAAAATTAGCAGATGACAATGAAAACCACTCGCAGCAGGTCAGACTCGCAACGCACTGGGAAAACAGCTGCTAACACTACTACCTGGCGGACGACAAATAAAGTGAAAAAACAAAACAACAAAAAAACCTGACACATGCTTCAAGTAGTATCACTTTAACTCCGCTGTTTAAGCTAGCCGCTTTAGCTTAGCCCGCTAGTTCCCCACTGTAGCCACCACGGAGGACAATTAAAGGGATACGGAGGGAAAAAAAAGATAGGAAAAAAACCCCGAACAAGCATCAAGAAAACACATAGACATTTCTCCTCTTTGTGATAAAAAGCATAAAAGACTTACCAAAGCTACTCGGTCGATCACGGAAGGGAAAAAAGGAAAGATTCCCCGAATGTGTACGTGCTCTCTCCCGTGTGAGTGTACTGCCTCGGGTCGGTGCGGACTGGCTCTGCTACAGCAGCGTTTTGTCGGGCCAGTGGCGCTGGGAAGACAGCTTTCACCCGGAGAGACGGCCACAGTGTGGGGGATGGGGATGCACTGCCGGGAGGGGAGAGAGGGAGGGATGCAGGGATGCAAGAGACAGAGGAGGGGGCCAGACCCACCAATAATATAAACTGGAGAGGCTCTGATAATAGCCCGATAATATGTACACCGATTCAGTGCAGTCTCGTAAAAACTGAAATCAGTAAATGGCGTTAGTATGTGCTGCCCGTTTACACTGATTTCACTCCAGTTTCACAACAATGGGACGGTCTCTGACTTTTATAGGATGGTCTGTTGTATTAAGATGAAGGAGGATAAAGCATATAGAGTATAATGACTGCTTTTTTCCCTTTTCTGTATATTTGCATTTTATCCATGATTGAGCCCACGTTTTATGTAGTAATAGCATAATAATAATAATAATAATAATAATAATAATAATAATAATCTTCAGAATAAGAAGAATTGAATTGTGTCTACAAAAGCTCTTATACTGTAATCATGTTTTTCAGGCGTTTTCAAGAGTGTGTTTTTATGTCACTGTGGTGGTGAGACGGTGTTTTGAGAAACCGTCCTACTTTGGCAAATCGTCCAACCTGTATTATAATTTGACGGCGACTTGTGACTAATACAAACCCTAACCCTAACCATAAGAAATATTCACAATGGGCTAAAAAATGATGTAAATTTGGGGGTTGTGTTACGCGCATGCGCAGCGTTTGCGCAGAAACAACGGGTAGGATGGTATGTGAAGTAGGATAGATTCCCGGAACAACACGATACTGCAGCACCGCTTTAAGTTCACGTTCTAATTCAGATTCAATGGCTGTTGTCCTATGCATCCCCACAATCATTTCTCCGCAGCACGGCAGCGTCACCCAGTGGTAAGAAATATTACTGCATCAACATAGTATCAATGAGAAGCAGACAGGAGTAAAGTTCTGCCCATAGGAATTTTCCGTGTGACTCAAAATTACTTGATATGTTTGAGATATGTTTTCATTTGCAACAGAGAAAGCACCCATGGTTAACTAAGCAAGCTAACCTGTATAACTGCTGAACCTTAACTGTTCTAAACTTGCAACTAAAGCAAATAGAAAGGCTGACCAGAACACTCGCCAGAAATAACCGACCAATAGGGGAGAACTACAGTTCCCAGCGGCCATCGCGCCTTTTCTGCTATAAATAAGGAGTACAATGAAAATTAATGAGGGGGATATAAATGAGGCACGGGCATTATTCTTTTTAGGGAAAATCGCAAATTCAGCAAACAAGATGACAGGAAGAAGACGATTAAACGCAAAAAAAACCAAACAAAAAGCCGACTGAAATCTCGCGTGATTTCATGCTTCCGGAAACTAGAATAGCATGAGAGCTCTCCGAGGTGCTGACACTGTCGTGAGTATTACTTGTCCTGCCTCAGACTAACTAGCTGCATATTTCACGCATTTTATACTCATATATATTTTTGACTTTTAACGTCCAGACATCACCTCAGGTAATATCTAATGTGCTTATCTTGAATGCAGTAATCGTGTCAGACACTCAGTGTCAGACACAATGGTACTACTGCATGTCTTAATGGTAGAGAAGGACTGGACTGTGTGTTACAGATCTGTTCATGTAAATCAGTTTGTTGCATTCTTGTATCTCTTATTCCCTCTGTGTGTGTGTCTCTCACAGACTCACTCCATTACTATAAATTGCATCATTTTAATATTCTATTCTTTTTTTTTTCTTCAGATTTTGGCGTAATGGATGAAAATCATGACTTGTCCTTGTGTTTGACCAACACCCACAAGCCCTGCAGCAGCAACAGCCCACCCAGCAGTAAACCTGGCAGTGCTCCACAATGCAACGGGGTCGCAGAGCGCCGGACAATGCTGCGGGTGTCTGAGTCCCATGGACTGCAGCTTCTGGGCGTGCTCAGATCGCTTAGGGAGAGAGGCTTGTTGTTTGACTTCACCATTAAGGTGCAGGAACGCAGCTTTCCCTGTCATCGCTGTGTTCTTGCAGCATGTAGTGATTTTTTCAGGTATCTATCTATCTATCTATCTATCTATCTATCTATCTATCTATCTAAACACATGTGTCTTGTGTTTAGGGCCATGTTTGAGGTGGATATGCGAGAGCGTGATGATGGTTCAGTAACGCTGGGTAATCAGTGTCCAGCAGCGGTGGCTTCTTTCCTGGACTTTGCCTACTCTGGGGAGGCACTCATCACTGATGGCAACGTAGATATGTTGTTTCAGCTCGCCTCTTTTCTGCAGGTAGAAATGCAACTGCTTCATTTTCCTTCTTACCCTTAAACATCTTCATTTTGCCATGACTTCCTGGGATACTGCAGTAAATCAATAATGTTATTATTAATAGTTATTGTACCAGTATTGTTCTTTAAGCAGGTCTGAAATATAACAGAAATAGTTCAGTTCAGAAACAGCTTCAAGTCTTACTCCTATTAAGCTTTAAAGGGGTTAAAGAGTTAAAGACCGAACACTTAAAATGAAAATCTATAGTTGTGACAGTCTGTCAGCTAGGCACTTATCTTCCTGTTGCCAAATGTCATTTTAACATGAAAATTTCCCTGCTCTTGCTGTTGTGTCTTCAGGTGTCTGTCCTGTCCAAAGCATGCAGCGACTTCCTGATAGGAACCATGGATCTTTATAACTGTCTGTCTCTCTTGTCTCTGGCTGAGGGATACGGCTCAGCCTCTCTCCTGCAAAGTGCCAATGAGTTTGTGGTCCAGAACTTCTTTGAACTCTCCAAAATGCAGGACTTTCTGGATATGCAGGTGAAACCCAATCTTGCACCTAAATATTGCATCTATGCAGAGAAAGGCTAGAGGCTGATCAGAGTCTCTGTTGTAATTTATTCTCTATATCCAGTTGCTAAACACTCCATTATGTCTGACTTAAGAACTAGTTAAGGCTCAAAGCACCAATGATGTTGGATTTCTTGCATATTTGGTGGAATTTTTCATATTATTATTGAGATATTTTGGTTCATTGTTATAACAGCTCTGAAATCCATTAAAGCAAAAACTAATATGCAACTCTTATTGTTTTATGATGTATCCAAAAAGCAAGTGTGTTATGATTAATAAGCCCAATAGTTAAGCTAATGGTTCCTCTGCAACATGTAAAAAACATTGTATACACAATATATTTCATTAAATCTGCTCCTATATCAGTAACAAAACATCTTTTTGTTTCATGTTTTTAAGCTGACAAATACATCACATTAAAAAAATGTAACTCTTTTCAGGTTAATGTCTTGGAGTTGTGCCTCAGGTCAGATGCTCTAAACGTGCCCAGTGAGGAGGCAGTGGTGGTGTCTCTCCTTAGATGGATTCGCCATGATCTCCCAGGAAGACAGAAGCTGTTGCCAGGATTGCTGTCTCCGACCCGGCTGCACCATCTTCCTGCACCTTCACTAAAGGTACAACCAAATCTTTACCTGTACTGGGTTTAAAGACTTTTTGCAGTTTGTGGATTTGTGATCGCATCACCTTTCCCGTGTTGACTCTTATATTCTCTCTTAGTCTCTGTGTGATTCTGACCCTCTCCTCTTCAACGACGAGTCCTGTCTCGCCCTTGCGTCAGAAGCCCAGAGCAGACAGACAAAGCACAATGGCCTGCTCACTGATGCCAGGCCTTCCACCACGCAGAGTTATATTTACATCCACAAGACAGAGGAAAATGGAGAGATCCGGCACACCTTCTGCTACTGTCTGGAAACAGACCAGTGGAAAGAGCTGGGCACAGGGCAAGAAGAGGGGACAACTACGATGCCAGATCCACCAGGATCTTACCTTACCAGCTATGCTGAGAAGGTAAGGTTTACAGCATCAAATGAAATAATGTCAATTTGTGAATATTCTATATAGTTATAAGGTGCTGTTTACTAGAAAAAAGCATAATCTTTTCTTACTCTTTGTCCTTGTTGACTAAAGATTTTGATCACCATCTTTTCTGCTATCTACTGGATTGAAGATGTTTGTCACAGGTGGTTGCCAGGGAAATTGCTGCCGAGCGATACGCCTCCACGTGGCTGAACCTTTCCACGATGCCACTGATGAGGTTTGGTGCTTCTGTCCTGTGACCTTAACCTGCACACCTGCACCTGCCATGCTTAAGCCCAGAACCATGCACACAGCTGTAACGTGCCTGGACCGAGTGTATGTCATTGGAGGACGGACCAAGGGATCCAGAGGGGGGGCACCTAGTTTGCTGGAGGTAAAAGTGTTGGTTGGGATATGCTTCCATTAGTAGGTCATGGAATTAGTCATGGCCAACAGTGTTGATCTAATTTATGTGCGGTGTTGGATTTTAGGTGGAGTATTATAACCCTTTGGCTCAAACCTGGCGCTCCGTCACTCCACTTCCCACTGCTATCTTCTACCCTGAGGCCAGTGCTTGTGGCAGTGTAATCTATACGCTGGGGTCAGAGGTGGAGATCACAGACTCCTTTAACCCCTCACTCGACTGCTTCTTCTGCTATGACGCCCTGCAGGACCAGTGGAGCCGCCTGGTGGCAGAGTTTGGCCAGTTCTTCCACGCTACACTGGTCAAGGCTGTGTCAATTAATAAAACACTGCACCTCTGTGACTTATCTACATACAAAGTGAGCAACGATTTAGTTTATCAGTCATGCCATTGCAGCCAGATAGCGTTAAAAAGATTCTGAAGCTTAATTCTGTGGTAAAATACACTGAGCTTGTGTAAAAGTGTCCCTTTTTTTCTTTTCAGGTCTACAGTTTTTGCCCAGAAACCTGCGTGTGGAAGGGTGAAGGATCATTTGAATGCGCTGGGTTCAATGCCGGAGCAGTGGGCATGAGGGACAGAATCTACATTCTGGGTGGAGACTATTCACCTGATGAAATCACTGATGAGGTTCAGGTAGGATAGAAAACTCACATTTATATTGCTAGGAACTGAATAACCTTTACCTTTGACCCAGACCTAGACAGAAGTTTACAGACTCTTTATGGGCATGGATGTCATGGTGATTTTGGGCTTTTAGTGATTTCTTTGAACTCTTTTTTTCCCCAGAGCGGGATG